ACTCCTGAGTTTTCTTTGGAATTTCATTTTGCTTTTTAAGAACCACTGGCAGTCTTTCATTAATCAGCAGGTGCACCTCTCTCTGAAAGTATTTCCATCAGATTGGAACAGAGATTTCGTTTTAATCCCTTCGCTCGCACAGCCCTGTGACACAGACACCACCCTGCCTCATTGCTTCGGAGCTGAACGGGAACCAAGTGGCATATTGAAAAAAGAAGGAAATCTGCTGATTAGTTAATGTACAAAACATTTTTTCTCCAGTAACACCTTCCTTAAGAAAAATATAACTACTTTCTAGGCAAAAAAAATAAAGTAAAATAAAATAAAATATTCAGGTGTTTCATTTCCTGGGCATTCTTGGGATTCCTTTTTCATTCCATAACTGCAGTAATGCTGCTGCTGCATATATACTGTTGATTTTTAAACTAGTTTCAAGTCAATGGCTCGAAATTCTGCAACAGCCTAGAATTTCTTTACTGCCCTTTTTTAAATGCTGAACATGGTCATAGTCTCATTTCTTGCTGCTTATGAGAGGGCCACAGAGCAATATAGGTCCCAGCTGAATAGAAATATCTACAGTCTAATGTTAGCATTGAACTTTGTTCCTCTAGACCTTGAGACAATAATTTAATGTTTACATTTTAATTGTTCCATACTTATTAATAATTGTTTATTAAACAACTTTGCATGTTGTTTATTAAACTACTGAGAGTGACTAATTCACAGGAGGGGTTTGATCTCTCACTGATATAAAAAGGGAGTAAACAGTTCCAGGTTGAAGATAAAGGAATTATTCTAAAGGCAAATTCCAGTTTAATGCTGGTGTAATTCAGGAGTCACTGGTAGTGAACAGATCGGTGCAAGTGGGATCAGAATTTGGCCTGATTTCTGTCAAAGTTTTGGCGTCCAAATTCATGATTCTCAAACATCTAAAAGCCTGTCACACTCAGGTATGCCTCTTAATCGTATTTTGCAGCAAATTAATGCAGTTGCCTTCACTGGAGTCATTCCTCTTACACTGGAGTTAAGGGGGTCAGACTGGTGCTTTGTGAGCAACAGCGGCAGTCCTGAGCACTGCATCGTGTATTCTGCACGGGTTCAGGGCAACGCAGCTTGGGTTGTCATTCGGGGTTGCAGTGAGGTCCTTGAACGTCATTTTATTGATGAGTTGGATGAAAAACAGAGTAAATGAGGCCATGTTATTGGGCCAAATTCCTGCACTAAGCCACTTAAATGAGGACTTGATCCAAATGTCATCGTTCACTTGATTGCTCATATCCCCAGAGTGAAAAGCTCTGATTTCACCACTGACTCCTCTGTTCTCCTGAAATATGAGGCCAACACAGCTGGGCTGGCAGCTCTGCACTGCCTGCATCACTAATATTGCCATGCCTGTCACAGCAGGTATATCCAGCACATTCATTTAATTTCTCAAACATCCTTGACAGCATAATGGCTATGTGGTGGGATGTTCGCTGATGAAATAATTGCAAGTAGGATGCCTGGGGGCACTTTCCTGGCATGCTAACATAGTCAACATTTTTTGAGGAGCCCCTCAGTTTAGGTCAAATCCTATCTTCAGGCTCCCATGCAGAATAGCCTGGTGGTGAATCTCACATGCTGCAGAAGGCCCTGTGGCATGGGTAAGTAACCAGTTGAATTTTTCCCTTTCACGTCTCTAAAAGGCGAGCCCAATCTTGCTGCTTTTGGCATATGGTTGGTGTTGGCATTGGTTAGCACAGGGTTGAAAGGGAAGAGAAGCTGTAAATACAAAGCAGACAGTTCTCCTGCAAATGGAGTTACAAGCACAGGAAGAGGAAAAGGAAGGTGAAGAACAGAGGCAAAACGCACAATGTGTCTCACCGCTCATGGCTCACAGACATGGACCTTCTACCCCAGCAAGGCTGCTGAAAACAGATGGGAAGGGTTTCCCTCACATCTCACAAATGAAGTTGTTGGCAATAGTGCATCACTTATGCTCAACAGCTTTGCGCTCAAACTTCTCCTTTGCTTGTGTGGGACCTAGGATTCAAGTTCACACCTTAGGCACCCCAGGGGACGCATTAACAAGATTGGGCACGCTCCTCTGCAGCCCACTGATTTTGTTGGGCATAAAAAGCTACCATGATAGATAGAGCGGGTGAATGACTTTGCAGCCTGATGAATCAAATCTTCCGAACTCTAAACCAGTGAGACGAAGCATTTTATACCATGTGGAACAACTTGGAAGCTGAAAGAGAGCTTTCCCTTGCCTCCTCTGGGCTTCCTTGCAGCTAGGCATTCACATGGTGAAACGCAGAGCTAGGTCAAATCCTTCTTTGAATCAGAATCAGAAAATGAACTGGTGGGACTTCTCCAGCATCTTCTGTGTGAGTCCTAATCCAGGTCTGAAAGCACTCACCAGAGCAGCATCAGCACCAGACACAAAGAATGTCCTTGCTTCTGAGAACCTCATGGAGGTTTCAACGGGACCTTGTTCCTGGGGTGTCAGGGCATAAGGGCTTCAGTGCAAGCAACATGGGAAAATTTTAAGTCTCCTCTTGGTTTCTCTGGATTTTGGGAATTAGGGAGATGCTAAGAGAGGATTTTAATGATCTTATGGCATGTCAGTGTTGGATTCTAACTGCTAATGGCATGGTTTCAGTGTAACGTAGCTGTAATAAAGATGGTTTGCATCTGGCTAGCCTGGGGTCTCATCAGCACTCTAATTCCAGGACCATGGAGCTCATTATTACTATCTTCACAATATCTACCTCTCCCCTTAGATTTTGCAGGCTGGGTAGCCATGGCTACACTGTGACAGCATCTGAGCTAGCTCACTGAAAACTCATGACTGCATGTTTACCCTTCACGGCAGTTGTATCAGAGTATCTCATGCCCCTTACTGACTTCAGCCCTCTGGCTGTTCTCAGTCCCACACGTGGAGGAATATTTGGAAGCAGCATCGAGCTCAGATGATAACAGGTATAGCACTGGGGAGGGTTATGACATGCAACAACCGCCCTCTCGGAACTGAGAAAGGAACTGGATGTCCAGATCCACAACTCTCCTCCTGGGCTCAGTGTGGTTTGTTGGCAGTGAATCACAGATGCTTAAGGCAAGCAAACAAGCAAGCAAAACAAACCTCAAACCCACCAAACTAAAGATGCTTCCCATCAATGAACTATATTTCCTTATGAAGAAAAAGAAGTCCGGGTGCCGTTAGTACCTGGTGCATAAGTTGAGATCTCTCAGCTCTGAAAGAGGAGCCCACCTTCCTTTCCATGTACATGTACTGGTGACCCAGACTCTCCTTCACGAGCCCAACGCTATGGCGTGTTATAGTGGGATGACAGCAGCCCAATTACTAAGTGTACACATGAACTGGGCAGGGATTTCCCACTCCCAGTGTAAAACTGGTGCAACCCCATTTGATGCAGTTGGGTGGGACACAAACACGACCATCCGCATCCTTGTGTTGTCTGTCTTCTGATTGAGTTTGGGATTGTGGGGATTGTCTTGAACACAGTGCCTGGGAGCATGAGCTCCATGTGATGCCCTGTAAACCTCCAGCCTGGCATGTCTGAGCAGGATTTGGTTTCATACCTCTCCTTCTCCCCTCCATCAAAAAAAAAAAAAAAAGAAAAAAGAAAAAAGAAAAAAACCCCAACTATTCCCTTGATTTTAACAGGATCTATGTGTGTTCTTCAAATAGGGATTGCCCCTATATGGAAACTAATAGGCCCTCAGAAAAGAGGTAAAATACACATGCACATCTTAAAGATCTAACAATGCCTTCATCATATGATGAAATCTCCCTGCAAAAGCTGAAGAAGAAATCAATTTAATAGCTCCTTCACTCCTTCCTGACTCCTGGAGTGCCAGTTATGTGCTGAGACAACCTTGTTCTGATGAAAGCAATTTTGCTTGCTGCTGTGATGCTATTTTTTTCATCTGGAGAGTGGCTCCTTATGGCAGGTCTGATTCAATTAAGGATTACAGGGTTCTACATCTCCCTTTCCTGGCAGTGTGTGCTAAACAAGTGCAAACTAATTACAGACCAATTGTTTTCACCTGATCCCTAATGATTCTGAGTGTGTTAATGCACCAAGATCTATGGGTGAACTTAAAAAGAATGAAAAACACAGCCGTGCTCCTCTTTTGGCATCTGTACCTGGTTTTTATACATGCAAATTGAGTTTCCTGTTCATTGAAAACAACCAAACAAAACACGATGTCATGAACATGGCGCAGAGAAGGACATTCATGCTGTTCCTTCTCAGTGACCTGCTTTTCCAGAGGGTACCCAAGGGCGCTTGGAAAGCTTGTGCTAACAAGGATGGTGGGCAATTAGCAGAACATGCTGCAGCACTGGGGCATCCTCTGAGGAGCTTTCCTGGTGCTGCAGCTTCGCTTTCACACGTGTAAAATGCAAAGGCAGAGGCTCTGCGCTGGCCTCTCCCCATCCTGCTCGTGTTCTTCCTATCCCTTCTTCCTGTGTCCCCAACTCTGTCTTCAGTGCCTCAATATCACCTCTTAACAACAGGACTTTTGGCACATTCATATGTTTGGCATGTTTTTTTTTCCTGCTTATTGCCTCTCTCTCTCCTTTACTGGCTCATTTTTTAAAAAGTGCAATTTATCTGTTTCAGAGATGCCGGTTCTGATAAAGCCACCAAGGACTCAGGCTCTCTCCTCCCTTACCCCTGTAGTTCATGATTTATGACACATCAGGATTTCCCAGGCTCTCCTCAAGTGACTGGGACCTTTACTCATAGGTATCAACCCCTGAGGGCTTGAAACTTAAGAGTGAAAGGTCTGAAAAGAGGGAGAGAAAAAGTATTTCTCTGCCATTTGGCTTGTCCGATCTTGTTCTGGATGCCAGTGGCTTTTCCAGTTTTGTGTCCTCTGTCGGCTCATGCGGAGCACGTCATTTCACAAGGATTTGTCATCATGTCGCTGATTCCTGGGGATCCTTCTGTCTCTCAGTTTCTCTCTTGAATGCTCAGTGCTTGGAAAGCCTCTTCCCATCACACCAGAGAGAATTCGGCCTGGAAGCCAGAGCACCGGCGTGTCTTTGGTGAGCACTTGGTCAGCATGGAGATCTGGGTGCTGAAGTTGGTGCCATTGCTGCCTAAGGAAGGGTGGTGATACTTCATGTCCGAGCCCAGGAACCGCTCCAGATGCCACCTCCGCCACTTTCGCTTAAGCTCAGCTTGGACCTAGGCAGTAGAAAGACAAGCAAGTCAGCAGAGGGGAGCATTTTCTATTGCTCTGACTTGACTGACTGAGCAGCCATGGGCAATCCACCTACCAAGGGGCCAAGAATTATTTTATAAAGGTCACTAAACTCAACCTGGCCAGAAGCTTTAGCCACATAGAAGGTGACACTCCAGGCTGTAAAATACTAGAGCAGAAATCCCTGAGTTTCAGCAGAAAGGTGAGCACAAGGAATTTCTTATCTGATACAGTGAAGGTGCCAGACTACTTAACTTTGATGTCAATGTATTCTATACTTTGTGAGTATAATTAAGATTATTATTTTCACTGCCCTGTTTTTGTCTGTTTTAACTATAGCTTGTTTGCAAAGCTGTCAATACAGCTGTGCTTTTTTGATAGAAACTACTTGTTCCAGCTCAGGGAATTTACAGACAACATCTGGTTTACACTGTCCAGATTCAAATCCTGAACAAACCTGGCCACCCTCCCTGTCCCCTCCTGCAGCCTTCCAGTCAAAATTTTTAGATAACTGAATTAGATAAAACAGCTGTGTCTGAGGGTCTCTGGGATCAGCAAGCACCGGAATAGTACAATACCAGCATGCAAATCCCAGGACTGGAAACACGGGAAAGGCAAGATCAATGCCTGTAAGGTAGAAACATGTTTACCTGGCACTAGGCTGTGCCTAACAAGTGATGTCAATGCCTATATCAGTTTTGGATCATCAATGAGCTTGCGTGGTACTGCCCTGCTCCACGCAGGCTTACTGGCAAAGGTCTCTGCTGGAGCTGGACTATCTGCCCTGTATGCCACTGCGTGATATACACATGGCATCAGCGTGGCTGAAAGCAGCATCAGACCTGTAAGAGAGCAAATTGTGGTTCTGGACACTCTTCCTCTCCCTAGGAAGCTGGAACACAAACCCAGATTACAACTGCTTCTTTCTTGTCCGTGCTCAGTTTATTGAGCTGAAAGTGCTCCAGCTGACAGTAACTCCAAGATTTTTAGCTGCTCATATCTCCTTGGTAGCCTTCGCAATACGGGTTTAATCAGTCTCTGCTGAATTTCTTATGGGCAGATGGAGCACGGTACGAAAATATCACCGCACTAACGAGCCTCCATCTTGGCAGTGGGCCTGATTCTGTGGAGGATTCACTGAGGTGCTAAGCATGAGTAGGGCTTAGAAGATGGGCTTTATCCTTCCCTGCTGAAGGTGGTCCTTTTGGATCAGGGTTTATGCAAGGTCATATGGGAATTCTGCTGATGCTGTCTCATGAGTAAAGGATGGTCTCAGCAGCAGCAATACTACAGTGTGCACAAAAGTCCTAATATATTTATTAATTGTGCTGGAAACTGTTGGGCAAATGGTTGAGTTGTTTTTCTGGAGTGAGTGATTGGACTTGGATGCTTCCCTCCAATATGGTAACAACAGGAATGGGACACTTCTCAATCCACTCTCCACAAGCATTCAATTTGCCTTAGCTGCAAACATTAACCAAACAATAACTGCTGATCTTACCTCCCCATTGAGAAAACAGTAGAGAACAGCCACCACAAATCCCTAGGGGAAAGGAGAGAACAGGCTTTTAGCACATCTCAAACTCTCTCTCACTGCAGCCTTGGAGAAAAAACATACTGCTGGGGGACTGCTAAGGGACTGCCCCTTAGAAACCACTTGATTGCATTTTTCCTATAAGAGGAGCAGGGGAAGATTGGTTAAGGTGTCTTGCAGCAGATGTATGGGTGTTTAAAGCCATGAGGAGTCAGCTCAGCTCTAAGAGGGGCACTTGGTCATTCGAATTGGGGCATTAGAGGCAATCGGATAGGATATTAGACCCAACTTTCCTGCTTGGTCTTGTCAGCTGAAACTGGGGAGATCTAAACATGCTCACTGGTACATCATCAGGGTCAGAATGATCTTAGACATGGTATAGGGTTAAACTGTTCCTTTCCCATCTCCCCTACCATGACACCTCATTTTTGAGAATCTTAGTTTTCACTGAAAAAAAACAAACCAAACTTCTCTCTAGCCCTTACGGTTGTAAACACTAAAGACAAGGAGTGAGTGTAGATCCATTTCTCTCTCAAAGGAGAGATGCCAGATGTGAAGTGATGATGATGTAGACAGCGACGTTAACTCATTCACCACTGAACAAAGCATGCCACTGACACATGTATGGTACATGGTGACAGACAGGTCCTGCTTCCAGGCTGCGAGAACACTAAGTGGCTAGAGCTGATTAATGGATGAAATACATAAATAAGTGCTTCTTTTCAAGCAACAGCAGGGCCAAGGTTAACAGCCCAACACTGGAACTGACTGAAGTAAAGTGTGTAGGAGGGTCCAAGAAGCCCCATTACCCATCTTCTTCGTGGGGAACCTGCCTCCTAAGTCAATGAACTGGAATCCTGCCTGAGCAGGATCTACAGGCAGGACTTGGCTTATTAACAGAGAAGGAAGTTCACGCAAGTCAGCTGGTTGAAGACAAACTAGGCTCCTGTTAATGGCCAGAAAGACACTCCTCCCGGTAAGATTTATCTCATCTTACATCATGTCAATAATATATAAACTGAACTGCAGTGCTCATTTTTCTCCCTTAAGCAGAAAAAACCCCAGGGCGACTAATTTATAGAGGTACATTTCCTTTTCAGGTACCTAAAATGAGGAGAGAGAATCTCCTTCTGTAATTCCAGGAGGCAAAATATAAAATTATCTTCCATCCTGTCCAAGCTGGAGTGAGTAGCTTTTTCCCCAAAGGTATAAGAGCAGTATTGAGCATGTCCAGGAAAAACCCAGCTCACATGTTTGCTTATTCCCTTGTCAAGCTTGTTATACTTCTCCCTGCCGACAGACCTGGCGACTGACTGGTGGCCCAAATGGTAGCTTACCTGGAACGACCCGACCACAAGCTCAAAGACCAGCTTAACTTCTGCTTTGAAATTGTCAGGGAAGAAAGCAAACATGATGTAGTGAATGCCAAAGAGAGGGATCAGCAGCAAGGTGGACTTGGCCAGCCTCCTGTTGGAAAGACAAACATGAGTCATAAGCGGAGAGGGAAGAGGAGCTAAAGGGTAAGCTGATGAGAAATCCTGCAGCTGAGCTGCACGCAACCCCTAGACTTTAATTTGCTGCAGTACATATTTGCTGATTACCTGGATCATGATGGTGTAGCCTGTATCATGCATGTAAAGTGCCTTTGTTTGCCCTTAGGAGATGTGATATGGGCCACTTACCCTGAGGTTCTGGGAACATCCAGCCTTTCAAAAGCAGCCTTGAGGGAGGCAGCATCAGGAGGCCGCCCTTGCCCAGAGGGAAGAAGTGTCGAGTACAGCGAAACGGAGGGTGTTGAGATAGCTCCTCTCAGCCTAACCTCCCCAGAATTCCTCTGATGACCTCGGCTGAGATGCAATGACAGGTGGAGGTGGATCCTCAGCTGGGCACAGTCACTGTATAGCAGTTCAAACTAACCAAGGACCATGCTGGGAACATTTCCACAGGCTTGCTTTCCTCCTTGTTAACAGCTCTCATATAAATGTATATGTGCCTCCAGCTAAGGCAGTGTGATCAGCCCTACATTATTTCTCCTTGGCCTGCAGACTGCAGATGGCTGGTGATTTCAGATGTGGTGACAATATAAAATGTGACATCTTTATTCCTAGCAATTTCAATGGAGGTATTTCTTTCTCCCTTCTCTCTTCTTCCCCTCCCACCGGAGATCTTTTTTCATCTCTACAAGTTAAATCATCATCTAGCGCTGTCTTTGTTTGCTTGGGATTTCTGAAAATTACAGCTTCTGGGAGAGAAATGGTATGTTTAGCTCAGAATAATGACAGGCTATCGCACAATGAATGTCTCCAAAGGAGGGGGATGAACAGTATTAGTGCTTAATGGCATCAGGCTGGGTAATCAGAGGTCTAATTAGAAAGAGATGATAATTTATTAAATAGAATCATTATTAAAATACAGCTGACAGAAATAAAATGAAATCAAGGGCCTAAGGATGCTTATGGAGGTTTTGGCTCCCTTGGTCACCCACATCCTCCCATGTCCCCCTCTCCCAGAGGCTTCTGGAGGAATTGAAACTATAGCGGCAATGTTGGAAATACTTGTTCTACCATCTGCAAACCCTTCACCTCCTAACTCTCATCAGGCTCAATCCCCTCAGACCATCTTCATTTACTCGCCATCTGCATAAGCCCACTGGGAAGGCTGATGTGCCAGCTTTGTGCAGATAATGCTCATCACTGTAGCTCCCAGCAGAGCTGTCTAGTTTTCCCTGGGCCTGGCCCAAAGACAGCTTGACATTAAGACTGTGGTTGGAGGCTGTGGTTCCCCAGGGAATACCTGCTGGCTGAAATTCCAGGCAAAATGAATGCCTGTAGGAAGCCAAGGAACTTTCCAGGAATTTCCCTGTCCCACCACCTCCCTCACTAGCTGGCACATCCATGCTCATAGTGAATAGATCCAAAATCTGAGTCCTCTTGGATGTCTTGCTCTGCCAGAGGACTATCACTGTCATCAGTGACCATCAGGGTACCATGTTCCCTGCTCTTAGAAGCAGCTCTAGCTAGTGTGACCCACACTATGACCCAGCCCCAATTTCCCCAGCTCCTGACATGCGAGAAAGCAACTCATTTTCTAAGCAGATCACAGTTCAGTGAATATTAATACTGGCTTTGTAGAGATCTCTCTCCCCAGTCTTTCAGGAACAGTCAACCTAGAGGAGATCGATGTGATACTACCTTTGTGTACCATATTCATAGAAATGGTTTGCAGCCTCCAATAGATTAGAAAAATTTATCTTGTCATTGCAGACAACATCAGGGCCTCAGTTATAGCATTTTCCCTCCTGGCTGGACTATGGCAATGAAAAGGGTATAAATGCCAAACTTTTAAGAGCCCCCTCCTCCAGTTTGCACAATATTCCAAACTAGTCTCTTGCTCCCAGCACTGAGCTTCCCCAGAATATTGAGCGATGTTTTAGATCTCAGTTTGGCTTTAAGTCAAGGGCCCTATGGTCTAGCCCTGTGATATGTAAAAGACTACCCCTGAAATACTGCACTGAGGAAAATCTTCCTCCCTAGTCATGGTGTAACTTCTCCCAGGAATCACAGAATCACAGAATGGTCGTGGTTGGAAGGCACCTCTGGAGACCATCTCATCCAATCCCCCTGCAAAAGCAGGGTCACCTACAGCAGGTTGCACAGGAATGCATCCAGGTGGGTTTTTAATATCTCCAGAGAAGGAGACCCCACAACCTCTCTGGGAAGCCTCTTCCAGTGCTCTGCCACCCTCAAAGTACAGAAGGTCTTCCTCATATTAAAATGAAACTTCCTGAGTTTCAGTTTGTGCCTGTTGCTCTGTACCCTGTTGCTGGGCACCACCCAAAAGAGTCTGTCCCCTTCTCCTTGACACCCACACTTAAGGTATTTACAAGCATGGATGAGATCATCCCTCAGTCTTCTCTTCTCCAGGCTGAACAGACCCAGTTCCCTCAGCCTTTCCTCATAACAGAGATGCTCCAGTCCCTTCATCATCTTTGTTGCCCTCCGCTGGACTCTCTCCAGCAGTTCCTTGTCTTTCTTAAACTGGGGAGCACAGAACTGGACCCAGTACTCCAGATGTGGCCCCATCAGGGCAGAGTAGAGTGGGAGGAGAACCTCCTTCAATCTGCTGGCTACACTCTTCCTCATGCACCCCAAGACACCATTGGCCTTCTTGGCCATGAAAGCACATTGCTGGCTCATGGTCAACTTGTTGTTATCAACAAGGACTCCCAGGTCCTTCTCCGCCAAGCTGCTCTCCAGCAGGTCAACCCCCAGCCTGTACTGGTGCATGGGGTTATTCCTCCCTGGGTGCAGGACCCTACACTTGCCCTTATGGAACTTCATCAGGTTCCTCTCTGCCCAACTCTCCAGCCTGTCCAGGTCTCACTGAATGGCAGCGCAGCCTTCCGGTGGATCAACCACTCCTCCCAGTTTCGTATCATCAGCGAACTTGCTGAGGGTACACTCCGTCCCTTCATCCAGGTCACTGATGAATAGGTTAAACAGGATCGGACCCCTGGGGGACACCGCTAGACACAGTCCTCCAACCAGACTCTGCACCATTGATCACAACCCTCTGGGCTCTCCCATTCAGCCAGTTCTCAATCCACCTCGCTGTCCACTCATCCAACCCACACCTCCTGAGTTTACCTATGAGAATGTTATGGCAGACAGTGTCAAAAACCTTGCTGAAGTCAAGGTAGACAACATCCACTGCTCTCCTCTCATCTACCCAGCCAGTCATGCCATTGTAGAAGGCGATCAGGTTGGCCAAGCACGACTTCCCCTTGGTGAATCCATGTTGACTACTCCTGATAACCTTCTTTTCCTACATCTCCTTAGACATGACATCCAGAACGAGCTGTTCCATGATTTTTCCAGGGATGGAGGTGAGATTGACTGGTCTGTAGTTTCCTGGGTCCTCCTTCTTGCTCTTTTTGAAGACTGGAGTGACATTGGCTTTCCTCCTGTGCTCAGGCCCCTCTCCTGTTCTCCATGACCTTTCAAAGATAAAGGAAGCTAAAGCCTGGCTGTGCAGGAGGCAGAACTGCTTGGAAGATTGTCTAAAGCTGGTCAAAGCTACCTTCTGGAAGATATGGCTTCTCAAAAAACTCATTACTTCCACTCCTTGCATAGGGTGCACTTCTTAGACCCATCCTCTCTGACAGATATACGTGATGACAGGTGATTTAGGGAAAACACATCTCCTCTAGCCTGCACTGAACCTACTCTTCTCCTTGGCAGTGGATAAGAGTAAACCAACATTTTAGTCATCCTCCTTGAACACATAACGGAAAAGTTACCCAGAAAACTTTGATGATAATATTGATCTATGAACAAATACAGAATAGAAAAAGATTAATTTTGCTCAAGATTTCTGTTGCAGAAAACAGCTTCTATTTTCCTGAAATATTGCTGTCCTGTTCTTGCACATGTCTCTGTCATTTCCAGAAAACTCTTTGGGAGACTTGTTTTCACCATTTCCAATACATTAAAGCTCAGTTCACTGTCTGTAGCATTAATGAGTGAGTCAGCAGTGCACCTGAACTTCCAGCCTGGAGCTAAACTGAAACCGGTTGGAATTGAACAATACTGTCAACATATCAACATGTTATTTTTTTATAAAATAAACAACATAAAATAAACAAGAGAAGGAGGGAAAAATGCAAATGAGAGATGCCTGATGTTGTTAGTTTAAAACGTATTTATCTCAGATTTGGCAGGAGGAGCCCACACATATCATTAGCAGCAGTTTTTTGCTAAGATCTCTTGGGTTCTGCAGGGAAAACCCCTGAAGCTATCAATCAGTAGCATTTCAGGTAATAAAAGAATTGCATGTAAAAGGATCCAGGTACCTACAATTGCAGATCACATGCCTAACGGCATTTATAAAAGGATCTGGATCCCAGATATCTCTACAGACAGTTGTCTAAACATTAAAAACTTAGGACCACACTGAGAACTCCCCTTGGTGGGATTCAACCTTCAGACTGGGACACTTAATATTCATTTCCATAGGAAAGTGTGGTGTCTCATGTCCCACTGCAGTCAATACAATCAACAGAGACTTCCAGAAGTCCCAGAGAATCTGGCTGGTGGCCAGCTGCCACTGTATAAGGGCACAGCTCTCCCATAGGTCCTGGGTCCTATGCACCAGGTCCAGGCAAGTATCTCACATGTTCTAAAGCATCTCATATGGCTTGGACACCTATAAGTGAGCAACCAATTCATGCCCTAATGGAACTGAGATGTTTTTCCAGGTGGAGAAGGAAGGTGAGGAACTGTAGATGTCAAGATCATTTGTACTTCACCAGTACCTCCTGTTTGGTAGGCTAGTGTGGGGAAGTCCGTGTTACTTACTGCCCAGCTGTGCTACGTTTGTTTACAAGGCAAAGAGAGCTTTCCTGGCAGCTCCCACTTCATTGGAAAATGTGAAGTAAAAAACTCTGAACCCAAAGCTCAGTATGACCTCTGAGGTAATCTGGGCATAACCCTTCTGATGCGTGTTGGCAGCACTTCTACTGAGATGAATGGGAGCCAACTGCTCCAGGCTGCTGCTTAGTACTAGAACATATTTCAATATGTTGATTTAATCTGTGTACCTGGCCAAAGCTGTTGCAATCCTGGGGGTACAAAGATACAATGCTCAATTAGAAATACATAAAGGGAGGTGATAGAAAGCACAGGGTCTGGTAACATCGGTGTGTTATGATGACAGAAAAAAGGGGTAATTGGCTTTGGCTGCTGCAGGGAGAAGTTAAGGTCAAATACTGGAATTTCCTTTCATAAGAGAATCTCTCGGGGCAGATGAAATGCATAAATTACCATCACTAGAGAGAAAGACTCAGAGCCATGGCTGGCCAGTATTTAAGAACCATATTGATATTGTCTTCTATCTTGCAGAAGAATGAACTGAATTCAGATTCTTCAGGGTACCTAAGTGCACTGCTCACTCCAAAGACAAAGAAGATTTATGAGCAGTGACCATGTAGACACTGGACTTTTTCCTTTTCAGTTCTTTTCTAGGAATCATTTAATAAATATCTAGGATAGTTGAAGTGCTGATCCAGGACAGTGGCAAGAGTCAAAGCTAAGCTAGTCTGAACTTTTGTTTAATTTGCATTGAAGACAGAATAAATCCATGCAGACAAGCAGATTTCTTGCACTCTTAAAATACTGCAACTAAGACCAGTCTTGGCCACTGAGTCAGATGCTGATCTCACTTGCATGTTGTTCATTATAAACTGCCCTGTTAAGGTCAACCTTATATCCCTGAAATAAAAACATTATATCAAGCAAAAGTTCTGAGACAGTGCTACTTCTCGATAGTGAAGAGAAATGCATTAAATTAATTCAATCATCTAGTTTAAGGGTCTGCTTTAGGACAAGGAAAATTTGCGTACTAATTTTCTAGATCACTCTTTCTTTGAAAAAGGAGTTGAGGGTAACTAGTTCAGAAAAAAGAGCCTGTATACTGTGAACAGCTACTCGTTCTCCATCAGGGTCCCTCTGCCTTCACAATCCAATAAATATTAAATATATAAAGAAAAAGCCTATTTTGTTTCATGATCATTATCTGCTCTCAATTCTTCATCATTAATCCCAGGAGAAAGCCTTCTCGCCTGTCTGTTCAAACCAACATAAAAACATGCCCAACTGTTTCAGCAAATGCCCCAGTTCCTGATTTCTGATTGGCTTTAATCAATTAACAAATACTTGATTCTGATCAGTGCAGACAGATGCAATAATGAACTAACAGCCAAACAGGTTTCCCAAAATCCATACAATACAGTTGAAAAAGTCTAGGACTTACGAATATTGGCTGGTTTCATTGTGCCCAACATCTGGGGAATGCAACTTCTGGACTAAGATACGGATGATGCAAATGAAGAGAATGAAGTTCACCTGTCAGGATGAGGAGAAAGAAAACAGAGACAGAAATAAAAAAAATTAGTATTTGTCTCCCATGAGAAAAGCCCATCATTAGAGCGGAATTCCTTTCACTGCAATATTTTTGCCATGGAGCAAGCTGTTGTTCAAAAGCCATGAGCAGAGAACCCCACTCTAGGAGCACATAGTAAACTGACACAGGATGGCAGCCATCTTGGGCCTGACATCAGCCTGCTTGGGACTTTGTGTCATACATCCCAAGTATGATGATGTCAAACCCATAGAGCACAGCTATGCACGACGTCCTGCTGAGTGGGGGAGTGCCGACGACAGGGTGGGAAAAGAGCCTTGGGAGTTAGCGGAGTGCTGGACATCAAAGCCCTCGAGAGACGGTGACATGGGACCGACTGCTGAGCATGTCAAAGACTGAGGCGGTGAGCCAAGGAAATCAAAACAAAACACAAAGCAATATCCACTCAAGCAGGCCTCTAGTCAATGCTATTGGGCATGTCTTCTCTGGAGAGAAGATGGAGACCTTGTATAGCAAGGGATAGACCTCACTGACACAGTGGAAAACATTCTTTCCTAGGATGTTAGACCAGAGAAGTCTAGCTAATACCTAGAGTATAGATGGTGATTTTCACCCAAAAAATCTCAAAGTGCTCCACCAACATACTCAAGCAATGTTAACCTTATTTAATAGCAAAGGTGTAGAGCTAGGAATGGCAATTTCCTAATGGCATGTAGTAGTTGGCATGGACTGAATTCAAATCTACTTGCTTTTAAGATCCTATCCATTGAATCATGCTCTTACTCATGCAACATATGCAACAGAAAAGATAGATTTCTGTGGACTTAGTTTAGTTTTAGTTTGGCACACAACCTCTTTCTTTATCCTTTCATGGTTAGCAAATGCACTAATGATTCTGATTTTTAGAGACTTAAAGGCTGGAAAGGATTGTGTTAACAAGCCAATCCGATTTCCTGCAAAAACAGATTGTAAAATTTCCTCCAGCAATTCCTACATTTATCTTAACAACAGGTGAATGAAGGAGATGGAAGCACATCTCTCATTTAGACACTCACTCTTTTTTCAAAGGCTATGAGTGATTGGAAATTAATTGTATTTCTTGGTTATGATGTATTGCTTAATCACTTTTTATCTATCCCATGCCATTTATCACAGGTTCTGTTCATATTTATTTGCTTATAAAAATGGTTTGCGTCTGACTTGGATTATCTAGATCAATTACTTTAATGAGCGTTGATAGCACACAAGCTGCAGCACTGAAGGTAAGATCAGAGCAGTTAAATACTGTGTTGGCTCATATTGGTCAAGAGCAAACACGGACACAGGGCAGTGGCAAGTCAGGCGGAGCGTGACTTACAGGTTTAGTACAGACTTAGCATTGCATGGTAGAAGATATGGCTATCAGGCTACTGGAGAAATTTAGTTTATTTTTCAACCTACAGTATAATCAAAGGCACTTGATGTGTTCCCAGTGCTTAGTATCTTATATATGTTATACATCTTATATATGTATTTCCTCCTTCCTTTGAGATCTATGCTTTATTTCAATGGATATGGAGTGCATTCCTCCCTGAAGAAACCTGCTGTTCATCAGATAGCAGCTATCATGCCCTTCCTTTGTGACAGATTTATATGATAACTGCAGAAGGAAAATCAGAAATTGCTAGGTAAATTTTGTTTGGCAATGAGGAAATGATTTATTGGCTGAAAGAAAATACAGACTCATTGATCCTACAAGCATAGTGTGTATTTCTTGACCAAAAGGTTATCTCAGGAAAGGAAAAATACTATTCATAGCTTTCTATGATGATATAAATATTTTGAGATATGTCATCTAAGTATTGTATTTCTTCTCAGTGAGGTGAATAGAGTAAGATGTAATTATTCAAACTGTTTCAGTTTAGAATCCTGTATGACAAATGCTACAGAAAAGAAGTCTTCTTGTAAAGGTCATAATGTTTGTGGAATAAGAAGAATGTATGTCTAAGAAAAGACTTCTGTTTAAAAGAGACATATTTGGATTGATTTCTGTGGCATTCTTTTTCTTCCCTTCCCACATACTTGCCTTCATTTAAGAAAACTCAAAGCTAAGTTTAACTCAAGTTCATTTGATTTTAAGTTTTGGCGTGATACCTAACAGAGGAAACGTAATATTCAATGAGGATGGAAGGACTCAAGAGTTCCTCAGAAGTGTCATGGTTTCTGTGGTCAGATTTGATCATATCCAGAGAAGTAAGAACTCAAGCACTTCTGTTGATTTATCTGGAAATTAGCCAAGCTTCCCAAGAACTTAGTTTAAAAACACATAGCTGAATCCAACTTTGTACTGGATGCTATAACAAGAGGCAAATATCTGGGGCAATTCATCTAACCTCTTTTCATCTAGGTAGAAATGTATGGTAAGACTCATCCCATATTACTTTATAGTGTTGACATCTACAACTGAACAAGTCATCCTGGGCTCTGCATATGGTCAGCTCGGAGAAACAAAAAAATTCATGGCATAATTCATCTAACCTAATTTAGACATCCACTGATTCATTAGACAAGATGAGCCTTTCCTGTATCTCTAACCACGTTCCTCAACCTCTTCTGGCTACACACACGCATGGCTACTGTACCAGAGTGCCCAGGGCGACTAGCTGAGATGGAGGTGGTCAAAGTTAAATCAAATGAGCTCCACCTTGGTTGCCTCATCACTCAAACTCTTCCCATGGTCAATGCTTAAAGGTAAAGATGTTTATCTGGAGGGTAAACTTCCTCATCCTAAGACAGACATTCAATATACAGTGGGATTTTATCTGTCAATGCATTTTCCATGGACATTTACAGAACACTTCTCAACATCCCTTCACCCCCCACACTTAGTCTTAAAGATGGCTTTGCAGCCAGCAGAACGTGCTGATACTTTACCAAAATAGACACCAAAATAGGAGTTTTAATGATCCACCAGAATGGGGATTCCACTATTTCCTCCCAGCACCTAAAAAGAAACAAAACCAGACTTAAAACATCAAGCAAAGCAAGCAAGCAGCTATGTAACCTTCTCAGGTACTTGGTTTCCCTAAATGCTAAAGATAGCTATGCTAGGTTATGCGAAGAGGACTAAACCTGGTGTGCGTGAACAAGGAAGGGTTAAAGACTTGCTTTGCAGTGGTTTTGAGCACTGGTAGGTACCAGCTGCCCCAGATATAATGCTGTGAGCGCTTTACCCCTTCGAAATGGAGTGGGCTGGAGGATATGTCAGGGTGAATGTGGGGGAGGATAGTGATTTGCTTAATTTCTCCTACGCTGAGATCTGCTACAAGGAAATACTATCAAAATTACAGATCCATGAGGCCTCCAATGCTATCCATCATCATGGATGGGGGTTTTGTTAAGCACAGAGCAATTGGCACCATCAGAAACAAAAACAACCATGCCCTTCTGAAAAAGATGACAGATGGCCTATGGTGGGATTAGTCCAACTAAACCTAGCTAGCTGCATCTGAGCTATGGATCTAGTCAGAAAAGTCCATAGGGTCCAGGGTGTGATTTATTCTAAGGAACCTGAAGGTGCCCAAGTCCATGGGACCAGATGAGATATATCCGTGGGTCCTGAGGGAACCAGGAGATGAAGTGGCTAAGCCACTATCCATCATATTTGAGAAGTCATGGCAGTCTGGGGAAGTTCCCATTGACTGGAAAAAAGGAAACATAACCCCCATTTTTTTAAAAAGGGAAAAAAGAAAGACCTGGGGAACTACAGACCAGTCAGTCTCACCTCTGTGTCTGGCAAGGTCATGGAGCAGATCCTCCTGGAAACTATGCTAAGGCACATGGAAAATAAGGAGGTGATTGGTGACAGCCAACATGGCTTCACTAAGGGCAAATTGTGCCTGACAAATTCGGTGACCTTCTATGATGTGATTACAGTGCTGGTGGATAAGGGAAGAGCAATCGATGTCATCTACCTGGACTTGTGCAAAGCATTTGACACTGGCACACACGGCCTCCTTGTCTCTAAATTGGAGACACATGGATACACACGGCCTCCTTATCTCTAAATTGGAGACACATGAATTTGAGAGATGGACCACTTGGTGGATAAGGAATTGGCTGGAAAATCACACTCAAAGTGTTGTGGTCAACAGCTCAATGTCCAAGTAGAGACCAGTAACTAGTGGTGTTCCTCAGGGACTGGTATTGGGACCGGTGCTGTTCAACATCTTTGTCAGTGACATGGACAGTGGGATTGAGCGCACTGTCAGCAAGTTTGCTGTTGACACCAACATGTGTGCTGCAGTCAACATGCTGGAGGGCAGGGATGCCATCCAGAGGGACCTTGACGGCTTGAGAAGTGGGCCCGTGTGACCCTCCTGAAGGTCAGCAAAGACAAGTGCAAGGTCCTGCACATGGGTCGGGGCAATCTCAAGCACAAATACAGGCTGGGGGGGGGAGGGATGGAGGGTAG